TTGCCTCCAAATTTTCGATTTTTCGGTTTTTCAATTTATGGATTTTCTATTTTTCCGCTTTTCGATTTCTCGACTTCTCGATTTCTTGATTTTAAGGTTTTTTGATTTTTCAGATTTTTGGCTTTTCAATTTTTCGTTTTTTTTTTTAATTTTCGATATTTCGATGTATTGATTTTTCAATTTTTCAATGTTTCACTGGTGGAGTTGTTCAGTTTTTCGATTCATAAGTTTCTTAATTTTTTGACATTTTATTTTTGGGATTGTCCATTATTTTGATTTTTTAAATCTTAATGGTTTTTTCGATTCCTCAGTTTTTCGATTGTTCGATTTTTCAAGTTTACAATTTATCGATTTTTGATTTTCCTATTTTTCGAATTATCGATTTCTCGGGTTTCCGATTTTTCAATTTTTCGATTTTTCGTATTTTTTATTTCTAAAATTTTCCATGTTTTCATTTTTGGGAGTTTTTAATACATATTCTAATTTTTTAAATTTCGATGTTTCTGTTTCGATTTTTCAATCTTTCGAATCTTCAATTGATGTTTCGATTTTTTAAATTTTAGGTTTCAATATCTCGATTTTTCGGTTTTTCAGTTTTTCTAAATGTCAACTTTTCCGATTTATAGAATTTAGATTTTTCAATTTTTTGATGTTTCGATTGCTCAATTTTTTGATTCTGTGACTTCTCAGTTTTAGATTTTTCAACTTCTCAGTTTTAGATTTTTCAACTTTTTGATTTTTAGCATTTTCAATTTTTTCACTGTTCAGTTCTTCTGATTTTTAAATTTTTCGATTTATCGAGAATTCGATTTTACGATTGTTTAATTCCCCGATTTTCCGACTTTTCAATTTTTCGTTTTTTTTTTTTAAATTACCGTTTTTTCAATTTGGAGCTATTTCAATTTCTCGGTTTTTCAATTTTTCGATTTATAAATTTATCAATTTTTCGATATTTCAGTTTTAGGATTTTTCGGTTTTTTAATTCATCAACTTTGTGTTTTTCAGATTTTAAATTTTCAATATTTCAATTACTCAATTATTCGATATATCGATTTTAGGATTTTTCATCTTCGGTTTTTTGATTTTCCAAATTTCTGATTTTTCATTGTTTTTTTTTTTCGATTTCGCAGTTTTCCGATGTTTTTTTCGATTCATCCCTTTTTCAATTTTTGGCGGTCCTAGGTTTTCCATTTTTCGATTTCCCTATAAATCGATTTTTCGACTTTTCAATTTATCGATTTTTTGATTTTCCCATTTCTCAATTTCTCTACTTTTCGATGTTTCATTTCTCAACTTCTCGATTTCTTGAGTTTTCAGTTTTTCGGTTCTTCAATTTTTCGATTTTCTAACTTTCAATTTTCCAATTTTTCAATTTCTAATGTTTCTGATGTTTCAATTAACAATTTTTCGGTTTTTTAAGCTTTTGATTTATCAAATTTTTTTTCTATTCCTCAATTTTCCGATATTCCAATTTTCCAATTCTTCAATTTTTCGATTTTTCGACTTTTCAATTTATCGATTTTTGATTTTCCCATTTATCGATTTATCGGTGTTTCAGTTTTTCAATTTTTTTATTTTTCCGGGATTTAGATTTTTCAGTTTTTTCGATCTTCCAGATTTTTTATTTTTTGATTTCTCAATTTTTCGATGTTTTGATTTTTCGATTTTTTAGTTTTTCAATTTTAAGCGTTCCTAAATTTTGGATTTTTTTATTTTCCCATCTCTCGATTTCTCCACTTTTCGATGTTCGATTTCTCGACTTTCCGATTTCTCGATTTTCCAAGTTTTCGATTTCTTTCCCAATTCTTCGATTTTTTCAATTTTTGTGTTCTCAAATTTTCAATGTTTCAGTGTCAGAATTCTTCAATTTTTCGATATTTCAGTTTCGGAATTTTTCAGTTTTTCAATTTCTCAATTTTTTCAAATTTTCGATATATGGAATTTTTAATTTTTTGATTTACCAATTTTCCGATATTCCAATTTTTCGATTTTTCAATTTATTGATTTTTGATTTCCCATTTTTCAATTTCTTGATTTTTTAATTTTTCAATTTTTTGATTTAACAATTTTCCAATTTTTCCATTTCTCAGGTTTTTGATTTTTCGATTTTTCAATTTTTCTATTTCTTGATTTCTCGATTTTTCAATTTTTCGATCTGTCAAGTTTCGAAATTTTTCAATGTTTCGTTTTCTGGATTTCTCGATGGAAATAAATTATTATTACTATTATTATTATCGAAATTTTCGACTTTTCGACTTTTCGATTTTTTATTCTCCAATTTTTCGAAGTTTCCATTTTTCAGTTTTTCAATTTCCCTATTTTTTGATAATTTAGTTTGGAAATTTTTCAATTTGTTGTTTTTTTGTTTTTCAGTTTTTTGATTTTAAATTTTTCTAATAACTCCGATTTTTGTACATATCGATTTTTAGATTTCTCGATTTATCAAAATTTCGATATTTTAGTTTTTCAATATTTCAATTTTTTTTAATTTCTGAATTTTTCAATTTTCGAGTTCGCAATTTTTCAATTTTTCCATTTCTCAGGTTTTTGGTTTTCCAATTTTTCGATTTTTCGAATTTTCAGTTTTGAAATTGTTCAATTTTTCTATATTTCATTTTTAGGATTGTTCAAAATCTTGATTTTTTAAATTTTAGATTTTGATGTTTCTATTTCGATTTTTCAATCTTTTTTCCAATTTATAAACTTTATTTCGACTGCTCGATTTTTCAATTTTTTAATTTTTCATTTCTTCCAATATTTCAATTCATCGAGATTTCGATTTTTCGATTGTTCAGTTTCCTGATTTTCCGATTTCTAGATTTCTCGATGCAAATAAATTATTATTATTATTATTATTAAATTTTTCGACTTTTTGACTTCTCGATTTTATTGTCCAATTTTTGATGTTTCAATTTTTCATTTTTTCGATTTCCCAATTTTACGATAAAAGTTTGGGGATTTTTTTTTTCAATTTTTCGATTTTAAAATTTTTTAATAACTCAATTTTTCGATTTCTCGATTTATCAAGTTTTCGATTTCTGAATTTTTCAATATTTCAGTTTTTTTTAATTTCTGAATTTTACAATTATCCAGTTGTTCCATTTCTCAGATTTTTGATTTTTCAATTTTTCCACTTTTCGATTTATCAATTTTTCAATGTTTCAGTTTTGGAATTTTTCAAATTTTCGATTTTTTGCTATTTCGATTTTTCAATCTTTTTATCAATTTTTTTATGTTTCGACTACTCGATTTTTCGACTTTTTGACTTCTTGGTTTTAGATTTTTCAATTTTTGGACTTTCCGGCTTTTCGATATTTTGACTTTCCAATTTTTTCATGTTTCCATTTTTCAATTAGTCGATTTTTTTATTTTTCAGTTTTTAGATCCTTTAATTTTTCGGTTGTTTGTTGTTTCAGTTTCCCGATTTTTAAATTTTTTCATAACACAATTTTCCGAATTTTCGATTTCTCCATATCTCGGTTTTTCGATTTTTCGATTTCTCGATTTATCAAGTTTTCGATTTCAATTTTGGAAATTCTTCAATTTTTGGATTTCTTAATTTTTCAGTATTAAAATTTTTTTATTTTACAATTTTTTAATTTATCCATTTCTCAGGTCTTTGATTTTTCAATTTTTCGATTTTTTGAGTTTTCGGTTTTTCAATTTTTCAATGTTTCAGTTTTCGAATTTTTCAAATTTTCGATTTTTGGTTTATTTATTTATCAATTGGTCAAATATTTCATTTTTTGGATTTTTCAATATTTTGATTTTTAAAATTTTTAATATTTTGTTAGATGTTTCCATTTTGATTTTTCAATCTTTTGATTTTCCAGTTGATCGATATTTTGATTTTTCAAATTCTCGATTTTTTTATTTATCAACTTTTTCAATTTATAAATATTAGATTTTTCATTTTTTTGTTTCGATTGCTCGATATTTCCATTTTTCGACTTCTTGGTTTTAGATTTTTCAATTTTTTGACTTTTCAGCTTTTAGATGTTTTGATTTTCCAATTTTTTCATGTTTCCATTTTTCAATTTTTCGATTTTCCATTTTTAGATTATTCAGCTTGCGGATTTTTCAATTTGTCGATTTTTTTGATTGTTCAGTTTTTAGATTTTTTAAGTTTTCGGTTTCAATTTTGCAAATTTTTCATTATCCGTATTTTTCAATTTTTCGATTATTGAAATTTTTTATTTTTCAGTTTTTCAATTTTTCGATTGCTCGGTTTCTCGATATTTAGATTTTTCCGAAACTACCGGACCGATTGTTTTAACTTTTATATGTATCGTTTAGAGTTTAGATGGTAAAACGCATACTAAAAATTTTATACAGTAACATACTTCTGTGCTTATATTATTGATAATTAATTATTATAATTTTCTTAAAAAAATCAAAATTATAATCATATGCCTTTATTTTTCTTACACTGTGACTGGTATTATGTACATTTTTTTCTACTTGTACTTCAGGGGTGAGGGCACTTATGTCTAATAAGTAAATACCATAAAACCGATTTTTAAAATCAATTTCCTAGCACGCAACTTTATTTCATATGCATGTTCTTAAATGCCATTTTGGCCATTGTTCATATTTTAATTTATAATTTTTTAATACTCTAAATTAAACTTTTTGATACCCAAAGTCTATTTTGTTCTCCAAAGGATAAAGTTTAAAAAAAATGGAATAAACCTTACACATTTTATCTTATCTTATCTTATCATTAAAATTTAAACCTTCGTCAATAATAAAAATCGTAAATTCGTCGACTTTGATTCACCCACCCAAAAGGAAAAATCAGGGTGCAGGCAGGGTAGTTGTTCCATAGCCGTCCACAATCACGTTTTTTCTGCGTTGTGATCAAACACACCTTTCACACTAACTAAATGTTAATATCTTAATATTTTGACTAACCTGAACCTAAATATTAATAATAACGTCGTTAAAAAGAAAATTTTCAAGAAAACAAAACAATGTTTGAAGTTGGCGCTCCTGCGCAAATGTCCCTTGTTCTGTCACCTGTCACCTGTCCTGTCATCATCCAATGGGTGTTTCAGGTGCGTTTACATTACAGTCAAACTGATAATTAATGCGTGATTAACAACAAACTCCCACAAGGATCACACAAAATGCTTTCACCGAACAGTTCTCCAGACCGAGGTAAGCCCCCCTAATTAAGCCATCAAACATTTATTACATTAACCCTAGCCGGGGCCGACACGCCGGAAGACCAAAACAAAGACGGCAAAACCGTCAATGAAATAATGGTCATAGATCCAGACACTCTGGAGCTGGACCTGAACCATGGCAGAATCGGAAAACTGGAAAACCTGGAACCTTTAACCCAAATCGAACGCCTGTACTTGAGGTGGAACCTGATCAAGAAAATCGAGAATTTGGACACGCTAGTGACCTTAAGGGAGCTGGAGTTGTACGATAACCAGATCGTGAAAATCGAGAACCTTAATTGTTTGGTGAACCTTGAGTAAGTAGGTGGAGTTGGTGGAAGTGTAATTGGGTTTGAAGGATTCTAGATTTGTCATTTAACCGGATAAAGGAGATTGAAGGGTTGGACAATTTGCAGAGCTTGGAGAAGTTGTTTTTGTCTTCGAACAAAATATCCAAGATTAAGAATGTTAATTGCTTGCAGAAGTTGACTATGTTGGAGTTGGGGGATAACAAAATTAGGGTAAGTTTAAGTATGATAATTGTGATAAGGGGGGGCGATAAGGACTTAAGTTTGTAATATACATTATTCATTGTGCAATGTTTGCTCATTTATTCAATTGAGATAAACAAACATAGATTTTGACCACTCATTGTACGCCAGTGGCGTACAGGTTTTTTTTTACACTAAACCAAAATGCCAAAAATTTGGGTTTTTTCAATTTCGTCAGTGTGAATCAGGTTTAGTGAGAAAACAGATTGAAGTGAGGTCATATTTGTGGGTTTACTCATACCATCACTTCATGGAATTTGGATGAAGTTCAAGGTTAAAAGTAACTTTTCAATTTACTTAAAACTAGGTTATTTTCTATCTTGTTTTATTGTAATTTTTTATAAATCTCAACTATGATTATTTTTTTTAAATATAAAATTTTGATAGTAGCTAAAAACATAACACATATTTTGTTCTGCTTTAAAAATTGCATAATGGGAGTTTTTATTCGCAATGTTGCAAAAGAAAATTCATTTGTATGTAGGCAACTAACAATACAGTGGTAAGAGAAAGCACACGATGAACATCCAAAACTTGACAGGCAACGCCACCTTGATGCATCTATTTATGATGCAAACTAACACTACATTTGATACAGCTCCATGTTAAGTTCAAAGGAAGCTCTGGATTTGATATTCAATTGTTGGCAGCACTGCGTAATTCAAAGTTGTTACTGATCTTTCAAATTCTTCGAAAGTTTTATTTTTACCGTTGTTCCATTGACTATAAATGCAGAAACTTTGGAAACGTTAAATAATTAACTGAAAAGATTTAATTGACAGTTAAATGTCAGTGCAATGTTGCCAACCTGACAAAAAATCCCAAACATTATTTTTTTTGCTTCCTGAACCTAAACCATTGCCACTCTCATGTTTTTTCCACGTTTCATGACTTCTAGAGTACGAAAAAAATGGTCTCCGTTTCCATCTGTTTGTTTAATATTAGATACATAATCTCCAGAACTACTGGCCTGATTGTTGTCAAATTTTGTACGTGCCTTACGACTATCGTCGTCTCCGAAATTTATAATAGTTAATTTGTTGTTACTCTTATAAAATAAGATACTCCTGCATTTGTGGTGTATGAATCCGTGTTGAGTTTTCAGTTTTTTGGTATTACAATTTTTCGTTTTTCTTTTTCTTCGATTTTACAATTTTTCTATTTTCCAGTGTTTTGGTTTCATAATTTTTCGTTTTTGCAACTTTAATTTCTTCAATGTTTCAATTTATCGATTTCCAAATTTTTCAAAATCGGAAAATTGGTAAATTGAAAAATAAAAAAATCCATAAATCGAAAATTTGAAGAAAATTAAGAAATTGAAACACTGAAAAATCGAGAAATTGAAAAAATTGAAGAATCAATAAATGAAAATTTGAGAATTCGAAAAATTGGAAAATCAAAAAATAGTAAAATTGGAAAATCGAAAAATTGAAGGATTGAAAAACTAAAAATCGAGAAGTCGAGAAATCGAACACTCAGGACCGCCAAAAATTGAAAAACTGAAGAATTGAAAAATTAAAACAACGGAAAATTGAAAAATTGAAAAATAAAAAAATGAGAAATCAAAATTTTGGAAAGTCAAGAAACCTAAGATGAAAAATCCAAAGACTGAAATATCCAAAAATTTGTACATAAAATCGAAAAATTGAATAAAAAACCGAAATATTAAGTCGAAAAATCCCCAAGTTGAATTATCTAATAAAAATTAGGAAATCGAAAAATTGAAAAATGGAAACATGGAAGGTTAGAAAATCGAAAAATCAAAAATTTTATGAAAAAATTTAAAAATCTAAAACCAAAAAGTCGAAAATTCAAGCCATCGAAACAAAAAAAAAATCGAAAAATCTAAAATTTATAAATTGGAAAAGTTGATCAATAGAAAAATCGAAGAACTGCAAAATCGAGAAATTTAAAAACGTGGAATTTAAAAAATTGAAAAATCAAAATATCGATTAATTGAAGAATCAAAAGATTGAAAAATCGAAATAAAAACATCTAACAAAAATTCTAAATATTGAAAAACCCCAAAAATGAAATATCGAAAAATTGATATATGTAATTCCTAAACCGAAAAAACAAAAATTAAAAAATTGAAGAATCAAATTACTGAAAAATTCCAAAACTGAAATACCGAAAAATTGGAAAAGAAATCGAAAAATTGGAAAATCAGAAAACTGAGAAATTAAATAATTGGAAAATCAGAAAATCGAAAAATTTAAGAATTGAGAAACTTAAAAATCAAGAAATTGTGAAGCCTAGAAATCGAACATGGATTAATTGAGAAATCGAAAAATTTAAACATCGGAAAATTGAGAAATCGAAAAATAAAAAAATTAGAAATCAAAATTTTGGAAAATCAAGAAACTGAAGATGAAAAATTCAAAAACTGAAATACCCAAAAATTGGTACATAGGTAATCGCAAAATTGAAAATTGAGAAATTGAACAACTGAAAAACAGAAAAATTGAAGAATCAGAAACCCGAAATATCAAGTCGAAAAATCCCTAGAATTATCTAAAAATTAGGAAATTGAAAAATGGGAAGAACTCAAAAATTAAAAATTTAAATACCGAAAAACTGAAAAATCGAAAAAGCAAAAATTTTATGAAAATAAAAAAGAAATCAAAAATTTTGAAAATCAGGAAACTGAAGAATTGAAAAATTCCAAAAATGCAAAGATTGAAAACTGAAATATCGGAAAACTGATAAATTTATAAATCGAAAATTGAAAAATCGAAAAATAGAAAAACCGAAAAATCGAAAACTTTGAGCCAAGAATTGGAAAAACGAAAAATTGAAGTTGGGAAAATTCAGAAATGGAAAAACAAAAAAATCGAGAAATAGAAAATTTGAAAAATCGAGAAATTGAAGAATTGAAAAATCGCAAAACTGAAATATCCAAAAATTGAGTAATTGAAAAACTGAAAATCGAGAAATTGAAACATTGAAAAATCGAGAAGTCGAACATCGAAAAGTTGAGAAGTTGAGGAATGAAAAGTCGAAAAATCGATTCAACGAGAAATCGAAAAAAATGAAAAATTGTAAAAATAAAGAAAATAAAAAAACTGAAACAAAAGACTGCAAATTGAAGGAATGGAAAATTTAAGAATCGAAAATTTGAAAAATTGTAAAATCGACAAATTGCAGAATTGAAAAAACCGAAAAATTGAAAAATCGTAAAATTGAATTATTGGGAAGTTGAGAAATTGAAAACTAAAAAAATTGAGAATTTTGAAATTTGAAAAAACGAGATATTAAGGAATTGAAAAATTCCAAGACTAATATCCAAAAATTGAGTAATTAAAACATTGAAAATCTAAAAATTGAAATACTGAAAAATCCAAAAACTTAAATATCGAAAAATTGATAAATTGAAAAACTGAAAAATTCCAACACCGAAACACTAAAAAATTAAAAAATCAAAAACCTGAGAAAACGAAAAGTCAGGAAATCTCGTAAAATTAAAGATTGTAATATCCAAAACATCGAAACAAGAAAATAAAAAACCGAAACAAAAAATTGCAAATCGAAAATTTTCAGAAATGAACATTTTTAAGAATCGAAAAATTGAAAAATTAAATATGTATGGAGATGTTGAAAAATTGGAAAATCGATAAATTGCACAATTGAAAAATGCCAATACTGAAATATTGAAAAATTGAGAAATCGACAATTTAAAAAATCAAAAACTTAAGAAATTGAATAACTGGAACATCGAAAATTGTAAAATTAGAAAATTGAAAAATTGAATTAATAAACTAAAAAATCGAGAAAACGAATATCGAAAAGTGGAGAAATCGGGAAATGGGAAAATCAAAATATCGATAAATTGAAAAATCGAAAAATCAATTAATCAAAAAATTGAAAAATTGAATTATTGGAAAGTTGAGAAATCGAAAACTAAAAAAATCGAGAATTGAAAAGTTGAAAAATTCCAAAACTAATGTTCAAAAATTGAATAATCCAAACATTGAAAATCTGAAAAATCGAAAAATTGAAGAATTAAAAAAGTGAAAGGTTCCAACATTGAAAAATTGAAAAATCAAAAACCTGAGAAACCAAAAAATTGGAAAAGCGAGAAATTGAAGAAGTGAAAAACAGAAAAATCAGGAAATGGAGAATTCGAGAAATCGGTCATCGAAAAGTCGTAAAAATATTATTATTATTATTATTATTATTATTATTATCATATAAGCTCCACAGGTCGCAACCCAATTACGAAGCTTAAACCATGAAATACCAAAAAAAAAAAAACATAAATAAATTATTCATTTAAACAGAGAGTAAAAAAAAAAAAAAAATGTAGTAAACTGCTGAAAAATTTAATGTTTTAACCAGTAGAAAACCAATCTCAATCTCAAGAAGATGATCAGACACCACTACCAATATCAATGCCGTTTCTGTTTAAAAAATAATTTGTTAGATGCTTTCTAAGTACTTGGCCACTGACCACGTGAATATCAATATTTACATCGGCATTGAACTTATCAAAATACATTTGCATCATATATATAGGCGAGAACTTCAAAATATTCGTCCTTGATTTTTTTATATAAAAGATGCTTTTGTCTCGCAAACTACGTGGTCGAGCCCAATAACACACTTGTTCAAGTAAACTTGGAGCATCCAATCTGTTGTTTACTAGGGAATGTAAAAACATTACTAAGTTTATAATTCTTCGGCACTCTAAACTTAATATGGAAAATCTACTCAACAATAATTTTTGAGGAATGTTTCTTATGGGATATATGCCATCAATCCGAAACACCAGATATTTCAAGAACCGTCTCTGAACTTTTTCGATAGATTCAGTTAAATACTTAAATGATGGATTCCACACAACACTAGCATATTCAAGCTTCGATCTTACAAATGCATAATATAAATTAATGAATGTACTTGAGTTACGAAAACACTTAGTATTACGGACCACAAACCCCAAACTTTTGTAAGCCGCTGATACCACCAATTCAACATGTTTAACAAAATTTAGCTGGCTGTCCAAAGTGACTCCTAAATCTTTAATGTATTCAGGTCGATTTATTACATGACCGCAAATAGTGTAACAATGAATCATTGCATTTTTAATTTTTGTGAAAGACATCACTTTGGATTTAGCAGGATTTAAAAATAATCGATTATTTATACACCATAGTACAATTCTATCCAAAACTTCCTGTAATTTGATAGAATCGGCAATATTTCCGATTTTTGAAAAGACCTTTACGTCATCAGCATATACTAAGCAGTTGTCTCCGATAATTTTAGTGATATCATCGACGAACAATGCAAAAAGCAGCGGCCCCAAAACCGAGCCTTGAGGAACACCAGAGCTCTGCCAAACATTGGTCGATCTGTATCCAAAATAGTCAACAAACTGATATCTGTCTTGTAAATAGGAGGTAAACATTTTTATCAATTTTGGAGAAAACCCATATAATTTCTCCAACTTCAAGATTAGCAAGTCATGATCCAGCTTGTCGAACGCTTTATTGAAATCTAAGAAAATCACATCCATTTGTCCCCTGCCATCCAACACACCTCGTATATTTTGCGTTAACGTGACCAAATTAGTGACTGTGGACCTTCCACTTATAAATCCATGCTGACTGAATGATATTTTATTTTTAATATACTGATTTAACCGGGAATGGACGACAATTTCAAAAACTTTGGCAAAATTACTAAGAAGAGAGATCGGCCTATAGTTACTCACATTAGATTTATCCCCTCCCTTAAAAACTGGGACCACCTTAGATAGTTTCCAAATCTTAGGAACATGACCAAAATTTAAAATCAAATTGAAAATAACACCTAGTGGCTTCGCCAACACACAAGCACAATCTTTCAACAAGAACGACGGCACATCATCCGGGCCCGATGTAAATTTGGATTTTAAGGATTTAAGAGCCATCTGCACTTCATCAATCGAAATATGAGTAAAATCAAACAATATGGAGTCGATGATATTTTCATTGCTGATGCAAGCAGGTGCAGATCTTGAATTCACAAAGTTAGAAGCAAAATAACTGGAGAAACCATCAACTATTGACTCAGCACCTTCCAAACAACTTGTTTCATAGTTCATTGATCGTGGGGACAAACCCTCATTTTTTAAATTTTTTACAAAATTCCAGAATTTATCAGGTTGTACTTTTATTTTGCTCTCACTTGTACATATATAGGAATTATAAGCGTTTTTTAAAGCATACTTTAATTTGGCACGCAACCTTTTAAATTCAAGCAAGTCTGAGAACTTATTAAATTTTTTGAATTTTTTCCAAGATTTATGTTTAAGCTTAACAAGTGCAACAGAAATAAAAATATCGAGAAATGAGAAAATAAATAATTGAAAACTCGTGAAATTGCAAAATTTAAAAATTGAAACACAAAAAAAAAAACTGAAAAATTTAAAAATGAAAACAGGAAAAGTTGCATGTCGAAAAATTGAAGAAACAAAAAAATGAAAACTCGAAAAAGTGCAGAAATTGAAAAAATCGAAAAATTGGAGAATCGATAAATTGAAGAACTGAAAATGCCAACAATATTGAAAAATTGGGAAATCGAAAATTTAAAAAATTTAAAAATCAAAAACCTAAGAAATTGAATAACTGGATATCGAAAATTGTAAAATTAAAAAATCGAAAAATTGAATATAATGATTGATAAACTAAAAAATCGAGAAAACGAATATCGAAAAGTGGAGAAATCAGGAAATGGGACAATCAAAATATCGATAAATTGAAAAGTCGAAAGATCAATTCATCGAAAAATTGAAAACTTAGGAACGCCAAAAATTGAAAAATCTAAAATTGAATTACTGGAAAGTTGAGAAATCGAAAACTAAAAAAATCGATAATCGAAAAATTCCAAAACTCCAAAAATTGAATAATCGATACATTGAAAATCTAAAAATTGAAAAGCTGAAAAATCCAAAAATTGAAACATCGAAAAAATAAAAATTGAAAACTTGAAAATCGAAAAAATCAATGAATCGAAAAATTGGCAAAAACAAATCGAATTGAAAAATTGAGAACCCCAAAAATTGTAAAATCCAAAAATTATAGAATCATCAAAAATGTAAAATAGAAAAATTTCATATTGAAAAACCAAAAAATTGGAAAAATAAAAAAATAAAAAACCTAAAAAAAATTGCAAATTGAAAAATTGAAACATCTAGAACTTGGAAAATCCAAAAACTGAAAAATTTTAAAATGAAAACACGAGGAGTTCCAGCATGTAAAATTTGAAGAAACAAAAAAAAAATTGAAAAAATTTAAATCAAAAACCGAAAAATTATATAATTGGAGACATCGAAAAATTGTAAAAATAACGAAAATAAAAAATCGAAACAAAAAATTGCAAATCGAAATTTGAAGAAATGAAAAATTTAAGAAACGAAAAAATGGAAAAATTAAATACATATGTATTGAAGAATTGAAAAATGCAAACAAATAATTCAGAAATCGAAAAATAGAAAAATCAAAAACTTGAGAAGTTGAATCATTCGAAAATGGACAAATTGTAAAATTAGAAAATCGAAAAAATGAAAAGTCAAAAAATCGATTAATCAAAAAATCGAAAACTTAGGAAGGCCAAAAATTGAAAAAGCGAAAAATTGAGAAATGGAAATTTGAAAAATTAAAATATTCTTACACAATTTTATTTATTTATTTTTTTTTTTCAAAAATCTCGATGTCTAGGATTCATAGCATAAAATCCGAAACGAAAGATTGCAAATGTAAAATTTGAACAAATGAAAAATAAGAAAATGGGAAATTGTTGGAAAATTGAAAAACTTCAAAATTTAAACTAAATTTAAAAACTCGAAAAATTGTAAATCAAAAAAACGCAAACAATTTTTATGATTTTTCAATGAAACGGAATTTGTTGGGCTGCAGTTCAGGGACGAGGGACGTTCGAACATTTTTTTTTTCTCATCAATAATTTATTTCACCAATGACTTTCTTAAAATAGAGGGCTTGACCTCACAAGCGTCTAAAGTGGTGTCGCCATCTAGGTGACGTTTTTATCATTGTAAACGTCAAAAATGGGTAATGCCACACTAAGAATAAAAAAATTACTGTGTGAAAAATAATAAATATTTGTCTAGTGCACAATTAAACATCAACATTTTTTTTAGGATATCGAAAACTTGGATGGTTTGACAAGCCTCACACACCTCTACCTCGGCAAAAACAAATTCAACAAAATCAAAAACCTCGATACGTTGGTAAACCTGACGTGCCTCAGCCTGCAGAGCAACCGAATCACGAAAATCGAGAACCTGGAAAACCTGACAAAGCTGACCGAGTTGTACATCTCCGAGAACGGCATCAAGAAAATCGAAAACCTGGAGAAGAACACCCTCGTAGAGACCCTCGACCTGGCGAAGAACCAGGTCAAAGTGATCGAGAACATCGCTCACCTGCAGGAGCTGGAGGAGTTCTGGATGAACGACAACCAAGTGTCCGACTGGAACACCGTCCAGAACCTCGCGAGCAACGCCAAGTTGGCAACAGTGTACCTGGAGGGCAACCCGGTGGACCGGGACCCAATGTACAGGCGGAAGCTGAAGATAATCGCCGCGTCCTTGACGCAGATCGACGCGACTCTGTGCCGTTAATCTTGTCACTTTTTGAATTTTTATTTTTGCTAAGTTCCGTTCTGTAAGCGAAAAGTGTCGCTGAGCGCCCACTTGTTTATTTATTCCACTGATTAGCTAATGATTAATTTTAGGCGTCTAATAATAGTTAACATTTGTAAAAAAGGAATTTTGATAAGTGCGACGACCAGATCCCAATAAAATAAAACGTGTTATTTCTGTTTGGAAAAAGTCCGTTCCAAAGGCTAGCCCAAATTTGCTGGCACCTGTTTTGTTCTCCAGTGGTTTTATAAATAGCAGCTGGATAAATTCTGGGTTTGTGGGCCAGTTCCTGCGATTTTTCCTGCCAAACGGGTCGAAATGAGCGAGCAGTTCGTCCTGCGGTGGCACTACCAAGAATTCACCCTCTTGAAAAACCTCACCTCCTTCCTAGAAAACGATATCCTCACCGACGTGACCATTTCGGTCGATTCGCACACGGTCAAGGCGCACAAGCTGGTGCTCGCGATGTGCAGTGTTTACTTTTTCCAACTGTTCCAGGTGAGTTTTGCGCGGAATGTGCACTTTTCGGTGGTTATTTTTGAACGCTTGCCGCCCACGCTTGCAGGAAATGGCCGACACGCAGCATCCGGTCATAGTGCTGCACAACGTGGCCTTGAGCGACATCAAGGCCGTGCTCGCGTTCATATACAGGGGGCAGTGCGTGGTCGACAGGGAGCAGCTGCCGGGCCTGCTGTCGCTGGCGAGGTTGCTCAAGATCCAGGGATTGTGTGATATGAAGGTGGGTGAGGGGTGGGGTAGAGCGCGGGCGATGCGAAAAAATTCAAAAAATAATTCCCTTTCTAATCGACATTTTTCGGGATGATTACTGGGTGTTTATCTCGGAGTGTTAAAACTAGGGCATTCCGTGGATGCTCGGAAATTCTGCCAAATTTTGCACGCGCAAGGTATTTACCGAAATAAAGTACATTTCTTTGGTTTAATTTAAGCCGTTAGTACCTATTAGCGTTGGTATTACTTCATATGAAATATTTTAGTTAAAACTGAAATTCGATGGAAGTTAAGTAATTGAAGTTTTCTCGACGTTTCATGACCCCTAGAGTATGAAAAAATTGGTCTCCCGTTTCCGTCTGTGTCGAAACTACCGAACCGATTGTTTTGTTTGTTACATATTATTGTATTTGTAAGTTTAATCCGCCTTGTTATTTTCCTATTCTTCAATTTCTGATTTTTTTTATTTGTCGATTTATCGATTTTTCAATTTTTGATATTTCAGTTTCTGATTTTTTAGTTTTTTGATTCTGCAATTTCTCGACTTTTGTTTACTTTTTAATTTCTCAATTTTGCGATGTTTCAATTTTTCAATTCTTCGAATTTTTAAAGTTTAGATTTTCCAATTTTTTAATATTCCGATTTCGCGACTGTCTGTTTTAGATTTTTCGGTGGTTTTTCCATTTTTCATTTTAAAGATTTTTGATTTTCCAATTTCTGGATTTTTTGATCTTTCAACTTTTAGATTTTTCGACTTTTCCCTTTTTTATTCCTTGATTTTCAATTTTTCGATACCTACTTCATTTTTAAAATTTTTCGATATGTCCATTCTTCAATTTTTCTTCGATTTTTCAGTTTTTGATATTTCAGTTTCAGGATTTTTTATTTTTTTGATTCTTCAATTTCTCCATTTTTTCGAATTTTCGTTTACTTAATTTTTCGATACTTCATATTTGGAATTTTTTCAATTTTTCAATTCAAGTTTAGATTTTCCAATTTTTTGATAATTTGAGTTCTCGATTTTCGGTTTTTGCATTTTTCGATTTTCCAATTTTCAGTTTTTGTCGTTTTTAAATTTTCGATTTCTGGATTTTTCGACTTTTCAACGTTTTAGTTTTTCGATTTTTTTTTATACTTCGATATTCATTTTTTCGATTACCTACTTCAATTTTGAAAATTTTCAATGTTTCAATTCTTCAATTTTTCTTCGATTTTTCAATTTTTGATGTTTCAGTTTCAGAATTTTGAGTTTTTTGTTTCTTCCTTAATTTTTTGATGTTTCAGTTTCTCTATTTTCAATTTTTCAAGTCTTCAAGTTTTGATTTTCCAATTTTTTGATATTCCGATTTTTCGATTTTCAAAATTTTTGATTTTTCAGTTTTTCGATTTCTGGATTAATCGAGATTTTGATGTTCCGATTTTTAGATCTTTCAATTTTTCAGGTTTTCGATTTCTCAATTTTTGAACATTTCAATTTTGGGAATTTTTAAATTTTAGATTTTTCAATTTTTCGATTTCCAAATTTTTCAACAGTTTTCTCATTTTTCAGTTATTCGATTTTTGTTTAGATTTTTTGACCTCTCGGTTTTAGATTTTGGGTTTTTTTAATTTTTCGTTTATCAATTCCCCCATTTCTCGATTTTGCAATTCTTCGATTTTGTCAAATTTCGTATTTTTCAATTTAAAGCCAATTCGACTCCTCGACTTTTCAATTCCTACATTTTTTGATTCAGTTTGAAATTTTTTCAATATTTCGATTCTTCAATTTTTCTTCGATATTTTAGTTTCAGGATTTTTTAGTTTTTTGATTCTTCAGTTTCTCGATGTTTTTCAGTTCTTAATTTCTTAATTTTTTGATGTTTCAATTTCTCGATTTTCAGTTTTTCGATTCTTCGAATTTTTAAAGTTTATATTTTCCAATTTTTTCAAAATTCCGATTTCTAGAACTAAAAAATCGTGAAACTGAAAAATTGAAGATTTCAGTTTCACGATTTTTTAGTTCTTTGATTCTTCAGTTTCTCGATGTTCTTCAGTTCTTAATTTCTTGATTTTTCGATACTTCAGATTTGGAATTTTTTCAATATTTCAATTCCTCAATTGTTTGATGTTTCAATTTCTCGATTTTCAATTTTTTCAAAATTCCGATTTCTCGATTTTTCGATTTATCAAGTTTTGGATTTCTCAGTTTTCAACATTTCAATTTTGGGAATTGTTCAATTTTTTTAATTTTAGATTTTTCAATTTTTCGGTTTCCATATTTTTCAACAGTTTTTCGATTTTTGATTTTTGATTTTTCTATTCTTCGATTACCTATACGATTTTTTGATGTTGCGATTTTTTGATCGTTTGATTGTTCGACTTTTGAGTCTTAGATTTAGGGTTTTTTTTATTATTCGTTTATTCAATTACCCTATTTTTTGATTTTACAATTCTTCGATTTATTCAAATTTTATATTTTTCAATTTTTGATTTAAAGTAATTTCGACTTTTCAGTTTTTCAATTTTCTATTTCTTCATTTTCAATTTTTGGATTACCTCCTTCATTTTTCGATACTTCAGTTTTAAAATGTTTCAATCTTCCGATTCGTCTTTTTTTCTTCGATTTTTCAGTTTTTGAGTTTTTGGTATTTTTGTTTCAGGATTTTTTAGATTTTTGATTCTTCAATTTCTCGACGTATTTCAATTTTTAATTTCTCTATTTTACGATTCCTCAATTTTTCGACTCTTGGAATTTTTAAAGTTCAGATTTTCCAATTTTTTGATATTCCGATTTCTGGATTAATCGAGACTTTCGATATTCTGTTTTTTCGACTGTTCAATTCCCGATTTTTCAATTTTTCAAATATTCGATTTCTCAGTTTTTCAAAATTTCAATTATAGGAATTTTTCGATTTCTGGATTTTCGATTTCCAAAATTTTCAACAGTTTTCTCATTTTTCCGTTATTCGAGTTTTAAATTTTTTGGTTTTCCAGTTAGACGATTTTTAATTGTTTTATTTTTTTATTCTTCGATTTTATACGATTTTTTGATGTTTCGACTTCTCGGTTTTAGATTTTAGGTTTTTAAATTTTTCGTTTATTCAATTTCCTCATTTTTCGACTTAAAGCCATTTCGACTTCTCGACTTTTCAGTTTTTTATTCCTTGATTTTCAATTTTTGGATTACCTCCTACATTTTTTGATACTTCAGTTTTAAATTTTTTCAATATTTCGATTCTTCAATTTTTCTTCCATTTTTCAGTTTCAGGATTTTTTAGTTTTTTGATTCTTCAGTTTCTCAATGTTTTTCAGTTCTTAATTTTTTGATTTTTCGATTACTTAATTTTTCGATACTTCAGATTTGTAATTTTTCAATGTTTCGATTCTTCGAATTTTATAAAGTATATTTTTCAATTTTTTCAAAATTACGATTTCTCGATTTTTCGATTATCGGGTTCAGATTTTACGGTTTTTTCATTTTTCGATTTTTAAAAATTTTGATTTTTCAATTTTTCGATTTCTGGATTAATCGAGATTTTGATGTTCCGATTTTTTTAATGCTCAATTCCCAGTTTTTCAATATTAGGATTTTATTTATATTCTTTCGATTTCTGGATTTTTAGATGTTTCAATTTTTCAAGTTTTCGATTTCTCAGTTTTCAACATTTCAATTTTGGGAATTGTTCAATTTTTTAAATTTTAGATTTTTCAATTTTTCGGTTTCCATATTTTTCAACAGTTTTCTCATTTTTCAGTTATTCGATTTTTGATTTTTTATTTTTCTATTCTTCGATTATACCATTTTTTGATGTTTCGATTTTTTGATCGTTTGATTTTTCGACTTTTCAGTCTTAGATTTTGGGTTTTTTTAATTATTCGTTTATTCAATTGCCCCATTTTTTGATTTTACAATTCTTCGATTTATTCAAATTTTATATTTTTCAATTTTTGATTTAAAGTAATTTCGACTTTTCAGTTTTTCAATTTTTTATTTCTCCATTTTCAATTTTTGGATTACCTCCCTCATTTTTCGATACTTCAGTCTTAAAATGTTTCAATCTTTCGATTCGTCAATTTTTCTTCGATTTTTCAGTTTTTGGTATTTTTGTTTCAAGATTTTTTAGGTTTTTGATTCTTCAGTTTCTCGATGTATTTAAATTTTTAATTTCTCTATTTTACGATTCCTCAATTTTTCGATTCTTGGAATTTTTAAAGTTTAGATTTTCCAATTTTTTAATATTCCGATTTCTGGATTAATCGAGACTTTCGATATTCTGTTTTTTCGACTGTTCAATTCCCGATTTTTCAATTTTTCGATTTTATTTGTTATTTCGATTTTTCGATCATTTGATGTCCCGATTTTTCAATTTTTCAAACTTTCGATTTCTCAGTTTTTCAAAATTTCAATTATAGGAATTTTTCGATTTCTGGATTTTTTGATTTCCAAAATTTTCAACAGTTCTCTCATTTTTCCGTTATTCGAGTTTTAAATTTTTTGGTTTTTCAGTTAGTCGATTTTTAATTTTTTAATGTTTTTATTCTTCGATTTTATACGATTTTTTGATGTTTCGATTTTTCGACTTCTCGGTTTTAGATTTTAGGTTTTTTAATTTTTCGTTTATTCAATTTCCTCATTTTTCGATTTAAAACCATTTCGACTTCTCGACTTTTCAGATTTTTATTCCTTGATTTTCAATTTTTGGATTACCTCCTACAGTTTTTGATACTTCAGTTTTAAATTTTTTCAATATTTCGATTCTTCAATTTTTCTTCGATTTTTCAGTTTCAGGATTTTTTAGTTTTTTGATTCTTCAGTTTCTCGATGTTTTTCAGTTCTTAATTTTTTGATTTTTCGATTACTTAATTTTTCGATACTTCAGATTTGTAATTTTTCAATGTTTCGATTCTTCGAATTTTATAAAGTATATTTTTCAATTTTTTCAAAATTACGATTTCTCGATTTTTCGATTATCGGGTTCAGATTTTACGGTGTTTTCATTTTTCGATTTTTAAAAATTTTGATTTTTCAAT